TTATGGGGAATATCTGTGTCAGCTATGGAGTATATCTGTGTCTGTTATGGGGTATATCTGTGACTGTTATGGGGTATATCTGTGTCTGTTATGGGGAATATCTGTGTCTGTTAAGGGGTATATCTGTGTCTGTTATGGGGCATGTCTGTGCCTGTTATGGGGTATATCTGTGTCTGTTAAGGGGAATATCTGTGTCTGTTATGGGTATATCTGTGTCTGTTATGGAGTATATCTGTGTCTGTTATGGGGTATATCGGTGTCTGTTATGGGGTATATCTGTGTCAGCTAATGAGTATATCTGTGTCTGTTATGGGGTATATCTGTGACTGTTATGGGGTATATCTGTGTCTGTTATGGGGTTTTTCTGTGTCTGTTATGGGTATATCTGTGTCTGTTATGGAGTATATCTGTGTCTGCTATGGCGTATATCTGTGTCTGTTATGGGGTATATCTGTGACTGTTATGGGGTATATCTGTGTCTGTTATGGGGATATCTGTGTCTGTTATGGAGTATATCTGTATCTGTTATGGGGAATATCTGTGTCTGTTATGGGTATATCTGGGTCGGTTATGGGGTATATCTGTGTCTGTTATGGGGTATATATGTGTCTGTTATGGGGTATATCTGTGTCTGTTAAGGGGAATATCTGTGTCTGTTATGGGTATATCTGTGTCTATTATGGGGTATATCTGTGTCTGTTATGGGGTATATATGTGTCTGTTATGGGGTATATCTGTGTCTGTTAAGGGGGATATCTGTGTCTGTTATGGGGCATGTCTGTGTCTGTTATGGGGGATATCTGTGTCTGTTAAGGGGTATATCTGTGTCTGTTATGGGGCATGTCTGTGCCTGTTATGGGGTATATCTGTGTCTGTTAAGGGGAATATCTGTGTCTGTTATGGGTATATCTGTGTCTATTATGGGGTATATCTGTGTCTGTTATGGGGTATAGTTTGTCTGTGTCAGCTAAGGAATATATCTGTGTCAGTTATGGAGTATAACTGTGTCAGCTACGGGGTATAACTGTGTCAGCTACGGGGTATAACTGTGTCAGCTACGGGGTATATCTGTGTCAGCTACGGGGTATATCAATGTCAGCTACGGAGTATATCTGTGTCAGCTACAGGGTATATCTGTGTCAGCTACAAGGTATAACTGTGTCAGCTACGGAGTATAACTGTGTCAGCTACAGGGTATACCTGTGTCAGCTACAGGGTATATCTGTGTCAGCTACAAGGTATAACTGTGTCAGCTACGGAGTATAACTGTGTCAGCTACAGGGTATAACTGTGTCAGCTACGGAGTATAACTGGGTATCTGTGTCTGTTATGGAGTATAACTGTGTCAGCTATGGGGTACATCTGTGTCTGTTATGGGGTATATCTGTGTCTGGTATGGGGTATATCTGTGTCTGTTATGGAGTATATCTGTGTCAGCTAAGGAGTATATCTGTGTCTGTTATGGGGTATATCTGTGACTGTTATGGGGTATATCTGTGTCTGTTATGGGGATATCTGTGTCTGTTATGGAGTATATCTGTATCTGTTATGGGGAATATCTGTGTAAGCTATGGAGTATATCTGTGTCTGTTATGGGGTATATTTGTGTCTGTTATGGGGTATATCTGTGTCAGCTATGGGGTATATCTGTGTCTGTTATGGGGTATAGTTTGTCTGTGTCAGCTAAGGAATATATCTGTGTCAGTTATGGAGTATAACTGTGTCAGCTACGGGGTATAACTGTGTCAGCTACGGGGTATATCTTTGTCAGCTACGGGGTATATCTGTGTCAGCTACAGGGTATAACTGTGTCAGCTACGGAGTATAACTGTGTCAGCTACAAGGTATATCTGTGTCAGGTACAGAGTATATCTGTGTCTATTATGGAGTATAACTGTCAGCTATGGAGTATAACTGTGTCAGCTACGGGGTATAACTGTGTCAGCTACGGGGTATAACTGTGTCAGCTACGGAGTATATCTGTGTCAGCTACAGGGTATATCTGTGTCAGCTATGGAGTATAACTGTGTCAGCTACAGGGTATATCTGTGTCAGCTAGAGAGTATATCTGTGTCTATTATGGAGTATAACTGTCAGCTATGGAGTATAACTGTGTCAGCTACGGGGTATAACTGTGTCAGCTACGGGGTATAACTGTGTCAGCTACGGGGTATATCTTTGTCAGCTACGGGGTATATCTGTGTCAGCTACAGGGTATAACTGTGTCAGCTACGGAGGATAACTGTATATCTGTGTCTGTTATGGAGTATAACTGTGTCAGCTATGGGGTATATCTGTGTCTGTTATGGGTATATCTTTGTCTGTTATGGGGTATATCTGTGTCTGTTATGGAGTATATCTGTGTCTGTTATGGGGTATGTCTGTTATGGGGTATATCTGTGTCTGTTATGTGGTATATCTGTGTCTGTTATGGGGTAAATCTGTGTCAGCTATGGAGTATATCTGTGTCTGTTATGGGGGATATCTGTGTCTGTTATGGGGCATGTCTGTGTCTGTTATGGGGTATATCTGTGCCTGTTAAGGGGTATATCTGTGTCTGTTATGGGTATATCTGTGTCTATTATGGGGTATATCTGTGTCTGTTATGGGGTATATATGTGTCTGTTATGGGGTATATCTGTGTCTGTTAAGGGGAATATCTGTGTCTGTTATGGGTATATCTGTGTCTATTATGGAGTATATCTGTGTCTGTTATGGGGTATGTCTGTTATGGGGTATATCTGTGTCTGTTATGGGGCATCTCTGTGTCTGTTATGGGGTATATCTGTGTCAGGTAAGGAGTGTATCTGTGTCTGTTATGGGGTCTATCTGTGTCTGTTATGGGTATATCTGTGTCTGTTATGGAGTATAACTGTCAGCTCAGGAGTATATCTGTGTCTGTTATGGAGTATAACTGTGTCAGCTATGGGGTATATCTGTGTCAGCTACAGGGTATATCTGTGTAAGCTACAGGGTATATCTGTGTCAGCTACGGGGTATTTATGGGGTATATCTGTGTTTGTTATGGGGTATATCTGTATCTGTTATGGGGTATATCTTTGTCTGTTATGGGGTATATATGTGTCTGTTATGGAGTATAACCGTCAGCTCAGGAGTATATCTGTGGCTGTTATGGTTATATCTGTGTCTGTTATGCGTATATCTGTGTCTGTTATCGGGTATATCTGTGTCTGTTTTGGGGAATATCTGTGTCTGTTATGGGTAAATCTGTGTCTGTTATGGGGAATATCTGTGTCTGTTATGGGGTCTATCTGTGTCTGTTATGGGGAATATCTGTGTCTGTTATGGGTTATATCTGTGTCATATATGGTGTTTATCTGTGTCTGTTATGGGTTATATCTGTGTCATATATGGTGTTTATCTGTGTCTGTTATGGGGCATATCTGTGTCTGTTATGGTGTATATCTGTCTCTGTTATGGGGTATATCTCTGTCTGTTATGGGGTATATCAGTGTCTGTTATGGAGTATATCTGAGTTTTTTATGGAGTATAACTGTGTAAGCTATGGAGTATATCTGTGTGTGCTACGGGGGATAACTGTGTCAGCTATGGGGTACATCTGTGTCTGTTATGGGGAATGTCTGTGTCTGTTATGGGGTCTATCTGTGTCTGTTATGGGTTATATCTGTGTCATATATGGTGTTTATCTGTGTCTGTTATGGGTAAATCTGTGTCTGTTATGGGGCATATCTGTGTCTGTTATGTAGTATAACTGTGTCAGCTACTGGGTATATCTGTGTTAGCTACGGGGTATATCTGTGTCAGTTACGGAGTTTGTCTGTGTCAGCTAAGGAATATATCTGTGTCAGTTATGGAGTATAACTGTGGCAGCTATGGGGTATATCTGTGTCAGCTACAAGGTATAACTGTGTCAGCTATGGGGTACATCTGTGTCTGTTATGGGGCATATCTGTGTCTGTTATGTAGTATAACTGTGTCAGCTATACTCCATAACAGACACTGTCTGTTATGGGGCATGTCTGTGTCTGTTATGGGGTCTATCTGTGTCTGTTATGGTCAGTTACGGAGTATATCTGTGTGTGGGGTATATCTGTGTCTGGTATGGAGTATAACTGTGTTAGTTATGGAGTATATCTGTGTCCGTTATGGGGTATATCTGTGTCTGGTATGGGGTATATCTGTGTCAGCTACAAGGTATAACTGTGTCAGCTACGGGGAATATCTGTGTCAGCTATGGAGTATAACTGTGTCTGCTATGGGGTATCTCTGTGTCTGCTATTGGGTATATCTGTGTCTGTTTTGGAGTATAACTGTCAGCTCATGAGTATATCTGTGTCTGTTATTGGGGATATCTGTGGGTGATGTGGGGTATATCTGTGTCTTTTATGGGTATATCTGTGTCTGTTAGTGTCTGTTATGGGGTATATCTGTCAGCTACGGGGTATATCTGTGTCAGTTACGGAGTATATCTGTGTGTGCTACGGGGTATAACTGTGTCAGCTATGGGGTATTACTGTGTCAGCTACGGGGTATAACTGTGTCAGCTACGGGGTATATCTGTGTCAGCTATGGAGTAAAATAGCTAAGGGATATATTTCAGGTCCTAAACATTGTAATCGGGTCCTCAACATTATAATTCAGGTTTTTAACATTGTAATTCAGGTCTTACACATTGTAATTTATGTAACAGATAATATATTGAGGGCATTTTTTATCATCAGAACAATTTTTTTATTTGTACAGAGCATACCATACAAAATAAAAATAAATAATGCTGAGTGAATGTGGATTACTGGGTAAGATTTGAGAGTGAATGTGGATTACTGGCAAAGGGTTGAAAGTGAATGTGGACTACTGACGAAGGGTTGAGAGTGAATGTGGATTACTGGCGAAGGGTAAATACCAAAGTATTTGAATTGGCAAGAGTTTCACTGTATTATAATTTTAGGCTTCTTTCCTATGTATTAAATAAATGAATTTAAGAGAAATCTTACTTATACTTTTCTGTTTCTTTTCAGAAAACTGAAGTACTTGTAGATATTCCTAATGAGAGACTCACCAATGATCGTCCACCCACAGAAAAGACTGTCCTCATACAGCAGTAACAGGAGGCTGTCCAGGGAAAACCTCGGTCAACAGGATTTCTGTAATATCATCTCCCTAAGAAATAAGCTACCCTCGCTGGGTTTACAAATAGCTGTTCACTGGTGTGAACCAGCACAGTGTATCTTTATGAAATCTGGGGAAATGAACTGGCCTTATGGTAATCAAAACAATCTTCTCAGTACTAGATCAAGCATGATTCTATATATTGTATCACAAATTATTGTGGACAGAAATTTCTTTAAAAAGATGATTAGGAATATTGTAGAACTTGCACACCCATGTGGTTTTTTTATGGGGCTGCCTTGGAGATAAGTCCCCGTACAATCCATCAATGTACATTGCATTTACAATGTAGCAGATTTTGCTGCGATTGTAGATTGCAGAATTATTTTTCGAAAAAAACAAGGAATTTGATTCACTTAAATGATTAATTCAAATTAGTTTTATTTATTTTTATGTTTCCTTTACTACACTGCCTTGTGTGGCGGTGTTTATATGTCGTTACTAGCTTCACTAGTCAAATAGGATATGCTTCATATGAAACATATGCTTATTAAACTGTACAAATAATTCCACACCATATATATATATGCCTTATATTTTATTTTGACCTGACTTAAGTACAAGTAGATATAGTGATTGTCGTAGAAGTTATTTTTAGGGCAGACCAAAAATAAAGGTAGGGAGTTAGCCCATATTGAAAATAAAAAGCTCTCTAGTTTTGATATGGGTAATAGAGTTCCACAGAATGATTTAACCTCTGTCTGTAGGTGTTGAAGAAAGATTTTTGACTTTTCAAGCCTCTGACTGCCCCGAGAGAAAGTTGTCTGCCTTTATTTTATAAATATCTGTGATGTAACAGACTGCAGAGCCCTTAATGAAGTATCAATCAGCAGGTTCAGAATTTTCATAGTTTTGATAAAATGATGGAAAAAATTACTCAATATTTCATTGCATACAGTGTACTCTGATGGTTATTAGTACAATGAGAGAAACTTGCAAAACATTCAATAGTCAAAACATAATTCTTTAAAAGAAATTTTAGGTAAAAAATCAAACTAACTGATGGGATCAAAACATTAAAAAGGGGAAAAAACCGCCGTAGTTTACGTTGTCAGTATTTTGTTCCAGAATAATTAGAAGCTGGGATTTTATTAGAATCAGTTTGGTAATAATGAAATGAAGCTTGTGACTATAATCTCTACTTTTGTTACAGTGTAGAGGGCAAAACTTAACTTGTCACTTCATGTGCTATAATCTATTTTTGATTGGAGTAGGTTTTTAACAAACTGTAGTAGGACAAGTAATAGTGATAAAGATAGTGCCGTCGCTGGGGCTAGAACCAGCGCCCTTGTCTCTTCAGCCCGATGCTCTTACTCCTGAGCTAAAGGGAAATTAGGCAACCTAATCAATGCACATCTTTTACAAAACTCTGGAAAAAAAATATGTTCTGGTCGGAAAAAAACCGATGCAGAGAATTTTGTGTATTTGTTCTATTACATAATCTGAATTTGAAGTATTATCTGGTAGTTCCTATTTAGGATAGATTAACATGCCTTTGTATAGCTATGCAATAATGAAGTTTTTATGGTGAAAGTGTAGCATTAAATAAAAAAACATTTTGGATGAATAAAACGTTAATGTGAAATGTGTGGTTGAGATGCATAAATAAAAGCTATTTTCTTTCTCAAAAACATTTCTGTTTAACTTTATTTTGAATATCAGTTTTAAAAAAGCATTAATGTACTTGAAAAATTCTAGTTTCAAAGGGAGATAATCAAACCATAAATTGTGTTAGATGGTTATTTTGAGAATAGCAGGTCTGAATTATTAAATACCTTTGTAGTTTTCACCAGCATATTCATATGGATTTAGTGGTAAAAAAACAACTTCGCGTTTTACTGTCATGAAAAAGGACAGCTTTATTTCTTTCATCCTTGCCTTGGAATATAGCAACACTGTGATAAATTGTGTATGTGTGACTGTGCAATATCACCATGACTTGATTATCTCACCGGGTCTGAAGGACCAAGGGGAGCTTATGCTATACCGTGGCGTCCGTCGTCCATCCGTACGTCAACAATTTCTTCAATGGGGATTCAAAATTGTACAAATGATGGGGGCTGACCCCCAGGGGGCTGAGAGGTGGGCAGAAAAGGGTTATTTGGCTTTATTGCTATAAGCAACTTCTTCTCTGGAACTAAGAGATGGATATCAACCATATTTGACTGGAAGCATCTCTAGCTAGTATGGATTCAAAATTGTACAACTGGTTTGGCTGACCCCCTGGGCTAAGGGGTGGGGCCAAAAATAGTTTATTACTTGGAAATGGTTGAGATCCTCATATGCAAATGCTGAGTATGAAGAGAAAAGTACACATATACTTCCAGGATGGCCCTTGAATCTGGCCCAACCCTTGGAGACATAGTCCCTGGGTCATAACTTTGAAACCGTTGAGATCCCCACCCCAAAACTATATATACAAATGCTGGACATAAAGAGATGAACGCAGTCATGATATTAAAATAGACCCTGGGGTCTGGCCAAACCCCTAGGGACCTAGTTTCTGAGTCACTTGTTGGAAACAGTTGAGATCCCAACCCTATAACCATATATACAATTGCTGAGTATAAAAAGACGAATTCACATTTGCTTCCAAGATGGCCCCCAGGGGTCTACCCCACCTTTGGAGACTTAATCCCTGGGTCATAACTTCGAAATCGTTAAGACCCCCACCCCAAAACTTTATATACAAATACTGGGCATAAAGAGATGAATGCAGTCATGATATAAAAATGGATCCCAGGGTCTGCCCCACCCTTGCAGACTTAACCCTGGGTCATAACTTTGAAACAGTTCAGATCATCAACCCAAACGTATCATATACAAATGCTGGGCATAAAGAGACGAATGCAGTCATGATATTAGAATTGATCCTGGGGTCTTGCCACAACCCTAGGGACCTAGTTTCTGAGTCACAGCTTGGAAACAGTTGAGATCCCGACCCCATAACCATACTTAAAACTGCTGGGCATGAGAAATCTAATACAGATATGCTACAAGGATTGGCCTAGGGGTATGGCCCATACCCTTGGATCTTATTTGGAGAATGTTTTGCCATGATTGCTTAGATATCCAGGTGAGCGATACAGGCCATCTGGGTCTCTTGTTCAAGATGTACTGACTTGATGCTGAGCAGGTATTACTGTATCGTCTCCCCTTGTATTGTTACAGTTCTGTATATACATGTAGATATGTATCTGCATATCTTTATAAAATAAAATAAAAATCTGCGGCAGATTTAACAGATCCTACATATATTGAAATGATCGATTCCATTTCTTTAACATTAAGTACTGTACTAGTAATTATGTGAAAGGACACACTCACATTGAAGGTTGTCTTTTATACACAGCAGTGTGAAGTTTAGATAAAAAGTTGCCTCAAGGTGCATTTACTGTTAACATGACTCGATCAAACAGATAAATGAAAAGCAGAGAAAAGATCCAACTGACAAAGAACTTATGAATGTGGTACGATGGTGGGCTTCAAGATCCCTCTGGGATCTCTTGTTACACTAGGGATAACCATTTTTCTTTGGTTTATCAGTATCTTCTTCACCAAATGTACGTTCATATTTCATTATCAATTACCAATATTCCTGTGTTTTTATGTAAGCTATCTACTGGTTAAAACCCATGACATTCATTACATGTGAATTTTTGTATACTTTGTAAATTTATTATTAGGTGCAGATTTCTTTTCTTTTTTTCTTCCTTACAGTGCTTTATATTTAGTGTAAAAAAAAATCATGTTTTCATTCAGAATTTATTATTTTAACATTTTAAGAGTTTTATGTATTAATGCTGTATGCGTGTGTAACCAACAGTGGGCTTCCACCACAACTCTCTCGTGTTTACCAGTCCAATGCTCTAAATATTGACTGAAAGGGAAAGTCTTCTTACTTCAGTCAATAGAACACTACCAGATGCTAAACTAATGCCTTATGAAAATATACCTCCATCCTAAGTCCTCTGGAGTATTCTGTGCTTTTAAGAGGAACTTGAGAAGACTATCATACACAATACCAACATTGATGCATAGGCACCAGTGTGATATAGCCCCGTAACTTAGCTGGGTAATTTATCAAAGAGCATCTGCTAAAAGTCAAACATGGTAATACAGATCCTTACTCCAATTTAGCAGTAAACTGATTGAGTTGATATGGAAAACTGTCTTTAGCCAGGTCAATAAGTAGCTATGTATAGCGACTACAGGGTCATACTTTACTACGTATAGTGACTACAGGGTCATACTTTACTATGTATAATGACTACACTGTCATACTTTACTATGTATAGTTACTACAGGGTCATACTTTACTATTGCATAGTGACTACAGGGTCATACTTTACTATCTATAGTGACTACAGGGTCATACTTTACTTCGTATAGTGACTACAGGGCCATACTTTACTATGTATAGTGACTACATTGTCATACTTTACTTCGTATAGTGACTACAGGGTCACACTTTACTACGTATAGTGACAACAGGGACATACTTTACTATGTATAGTGACTACATCGTCATACTTTACTTCGTATAGTGACTACAGGGTCACACTTTACTACGTATAGTGACAACAGGGACATACTTTACTATGTATAGTGACTACATCGTCATACTTTACTTCGTATAGTGACTACCGGGTCATACTTTACTATGTATAGTGAGTACAGGGTCATACTTTACTACGTATAGTGCCTACAGGGTCATACTTTACTATGTATAATGACTACACTGTCATACTTTACTATGTATAGTTACTACAGGGTCCTACTTTACTATTGTATAGTGACTACAGGGCCATACTTTACTACGTATAGTGACTACAGGGGCATACTTTACTATGTATAGTGACTACATCGTCATACTTTACTTCGTATAGTGACTACAGGGTTATACTTTACTACGTATAGTGACAACAGGGTCATACTTTACTATCTATAGTGACTACAGGGTCATACTTTACTTCGCATAGTGACTACAGGGTCATACTTTACTATGTACAATGACTACACGGTCATACTTTACTATGTACAGTTACTACAGGGTCATACTTTACTATTGCATAGTGACTACAGGGTCATACTTTACTTCGCATAGTGACTACAGGGTCATACTTTACTATGTACAATGACTACACGGTCATACTTTACTATGTATAGTGACTACATCGTCATACTTTACTTCGTATAGTGACTACAGGGCCATACTTTACTATGTATAGTGACTACATCGTCATACTTTACTTCGTATAGTGACTACAGGGTCACACTTTACTACGTATAGTGACAACAGGGTCATACTGTACTATGTATAGTGACTACAGGGTCATCCTTTACTATGTATAGTGACTACAGGGTCATACATTACTATGTATAGTGACTACAGGGTCATCCTTTACTATGTATAGTGACTACAGGGTAATACTTTACTATGTATAGTGACTACAGGGGCATACTTTACTATGTATAGTGACTACATTGTCATACTTTACTTCGTATAGTGACTACCGGGTCATACTTTACTATGTATAGTGAGTACAGGGTCATACTTTACTACGTATAGTGCCTACAGGGTCATACTTTACTATGTATAATGACTACACTGTCATACTTTACTATGTATAGTTACTACAGGGTCATACTTTACTATTGTAGAGTGACTACAGGGTCATACTTTACTATTTATAGTGACTACAGGGTCATACTTTACTTCGCATAGTGACTACAGGGTCATACTTTACTTCGTATAGTGACTACATGGTCATACTTTACTACGTATAGTGACTACAGGGTCATACTTTACTATGTATAATGACTACACGGTCATACTTTACTATGTATAGTTACTACAGGGTCATACTTTACTATTGTATAGTGACTACAGGGTCATACTTTACTATGTATAGTGACTACAGGGTCATACTTTACTACGTATAGTGACTACAGTCTGTCTGTCAACTTTTTGTTTAAACGACTTCTTCTGAAGGTCTGAAAGTCCTACAGTCATGATATTTGGCCAGTGACATCCTGGGATAGAGTCCAACAAAGTTTGGAATGGAGCCCAACAAAGTTTGGAATGGAGCCCAACAAAGTTTGCGAATGAAAATGACCTTGACCTTCTGTCAAGGTAAAAGGGGTTAAATAGGTTGAAACCTTCAAATGACTTTAGAAAATCTGAAAGGCATAGAGTCATGATTTTTGTCCAGTAGCATCCTATGATGGAATCTGACAAAGTTTGCCAACGAGAGACCTTGACCTACTTTCAACGTCACTGGGGTCAAATAGGTAAAACATTCAAACCACTTCTAAATATCCAATCAAACTAACTTCACAATATTTGGCCAACAACTCCATGTAACAAAGCAAACAGGTGGGCGATACAGGCCCTTCTGGGTCTCTTATTTATGATGTTTTTATAATAAGATTTGTTAGACTTATTCAAATTATTATACGCCCGTCGAAGACGGGGACGTATTATGTAATCACGTGACCAGGCGGGCGGTTGGGCGGGCGGGCGGGCGGGCATGCGAACGATGTCTGCTCGATATCTCGAGTAATTATTAACGGATTAACTTCAAACTTCACAACAAGGTTAATTACCATGAAAGCTCGGACAAGTTCGATAACCGCCATTATCCGACCATAATTTGTGGAGTTATGCCCCTTTATGGACTTGCCGAAACAGTGTTCGCTCGATATCTCGAGTAATTATTGACGGATTAACTTCAAACTTCACAACAAGGTTAATTACCATGAAACCTCGGACAAGTTTGATAACCGTTATTATCCGACCATAATTTGTGGAGTTATGCCCCTTTATGGACTTGCCGAAACAGTGTTCGCTCGATATCTCGAGTAATTATTAACGGATTAACTTCAAACTTCACAACAAGGTTAATTACCATGAAAGCTCGGACAAGTTCGATAACCGCCATCATCCGACCATAATTTGTGGAGTTATGCCCTTTGGTTTCATTAATGCGATGCATGCGTTCCATGATGTTGTATTGCACTCATTGATCTACCAGTTATGCTGAATGATTTCTCTTTTAATATCAATTACTCAATTACAAATACTTCATATATTTCACTCATACAAACAACTGCTCATTCAATGTGTGGTGGGCGTATTATATACCGCTTGCGGTAACCTTGTTTTTAATATTCATCTGGTGCCTTTTCTTGTGTCTGTTGGTGCCTTTCCACTCACTACCTTATTAGGGTGTGTACAGCTTTTACCATTCCATTATGTTACTTGCTTGTTTATCAAATGAGAAATAAAACACCGGTATATCTACCTGTTTTACCTGAAAGAAGATCCAGTACATATCTCATATAAAACAAACCATCCTGCTACAGGAGATGAAACTTGTTTGGTTATGGTTTACAGAGAAGTTTGTTGATTGGGGGTGTTCAATTTGATTTTTAGAATACTGGCCCAAAGATTGATTTTGAAAAGTTCTACTACCCCAACCTATGTTTGAATGATAAATATCGAAAATTCCACTAGCCCCTATATAAAATCTAGTAGCTGTAAGCATTGGGCTAGTGGCATTGTAGAGCCATGATTGATACACAGATTTATTGTCAGCCAACACTTACAGACCTGAACCAGTTAGGTCCTACCTGTATACAGAGACCAAACTCAGTTAGGTCCTACCTGTATACATAGACCACACTCGGTTAGGTCCTACCTATATACATAGACCACACTCGGTTAGGTCCCACCTGTATACAGAGACCACACTCGGTTAGGTCCTACTCATAAATCCTACCTGTATACAGAGACCACATTCAGTTAGGTCCTACTCATAAATCCTACCTGTATACAGAGACCACATTCAGTTAGGTCCTACTCATAAATCCTACCTGCATACAGAGAACACCCTCAGTTAGGTCCTCCTTATAGTCCTACCTGTATACAGAGACCACCCTCAGTTAGGTCCTACTCATAAGTCCTACCTGTATACAGAGACCACCCTCAGTTAGGTCCTACTCATAAGTCCTACCTGTATACAGAGATCACCCTCAGTTAGGCTACCTGTATACAGAGACCACCCTTAGTTAGGTCCTACTCATAAGTCCTACCTGTATACAGAGATCACCCTCAGTTAGGTCCTACTCATAAGTCCAACCTGTATACAGAGACCACCCTCCGTTAGGTCCTACTCATAAATCCTACCTGTATACAGAGACCACCCTTAGTTAGGTCCTATTCATAAATCCTACCTGTATACAGAGAACACCCTCAGTTAGGTCCTATTCATCAATCCTACCTGTATACAGAAAACACCCTCAGTTAGGTCCTATTCATAAATCCTTCCTGTATATAGAGACCACCCTCAGTTAGGTCCTACTCATAAGTCCTACCTGTATATAGAGACCACCCTCAGTTAGGTCATACTCATAAGTCCTTCCTGTATACAGAGACCACCCTCAGTTAGGTCCTACTTATAGTTCTACCTGTATACAGAGAACACCCTCAGTTAGGTCCTACACATACGTCCTACCTGTATACAGAGACCACACTCAGTTAGGTCCTATTCATCAATCCTACCTGTATACAAAGAACACCCTTAGTTAGGTCCTACTCATAAGTCCTACCTGTATACAGAGACCACCCTTAGTTAGGTCCTACTCATAAGTCCTACCTGAATAGAGGCCACCCTCAGTTAGGTCCTACTTGTAAGTCCTTCCTGTATACAGAGACCACCCTCAGTTAGGTCCTACTCATAAGTCCTACCTGTATACAGAGACCACCCTTAGTTAGGTCCTATTCATAAATCCTACCTGTATACAGAGAACACCTTCAGTTAGGTCTATTCATCAATCCTACCTGTATACAGAGAACACCCTCAGTTAGGTCCTATTCATAAATCCTTCCTGTATATAGAGACCACCCTTAGTTATGTCCTACTCATAAGTCCTACCTGTATACAGAGACCACCCTTATTTAGGTCCTACTCATAAGTCCTACCTGTATACAGAGACCACCCTTAGTTAGGTCCTACTCATAAGTCCTACCTGTATACAGAAACCACCCTTATTTAGGTCCTACTCATAAGTTCTACCTGTATACAGAGACCACCCTTAGTTAGGGCCTACTCATAAGTCCTTCCTGTATACAGAGACCACCCTTAGTTAGGTCCTACCTGTATATAGGGACCACACTCGGTTAGGTCCTACCTGTATACAGAGACCACACTCAGTTAGGTCCTACTCATAAGTCCTACCTGTATACAGAGACCACCCTCAGTTAGGTCCTTCTCATTAGTCCTACCTGTATACAGAGACCACCCTCAGTTAGGTCCTATACATAAGTCCTACCTGTATACAAAGACCACCCTCAGGTATTCAATCTTGCAGGACTGACAGTATTTATTTTTTATAAACATGTATTCAAAGTTCTATTGTTACCACACACAAAAAATGCAAATTCAAATAAAAAGAAATGTTTTGTAATATGTGGTATTGTATATAATAATCTTTTCAATGTGTATACCTAACTCAATTGTTTTAAACAAGTACGTGAGACATTACCTGTAGTTCTATTAACTATAAGTCCTGTACGTTTCTTACCACCTTGTGTGCCAATCAGTGTCATATGTTCCTCCTTAAAGATATGTGTTCCTACACAAAATGACCTCATTTTCAATGATAAAACTTTGTTTATTCAAGTTCATAGAATAATGCATGTATCCATATAATATTAATGTAACAGATATATTGTAAAATATATTCTGACTTTTTAAGTGACATAAATATTCTATTTTAATCAAGGTTTTCTTTTATCAGAATAAAGGTGCTTATGTATTGTTCCAGTGTTATTTTAATTATTGGTAGTACGAGGTATTTGTTTTCAAGAGTTATTATTATGAAACATTATTGCAGAGACCACTTGTGATGCATGTTGTGTACCCACATGGAGCACTTGGTGTAGTATCAATTTCCGAGAAATTCTCAATCGGTTGATAATCGATTTTTGTCTCGCCTGCGACGGACGTTACTTTATCGGCAGCGGGGGCGTCAACATTAAGTTTTTGCGTTTAGCTCTGTTTCCCAAAAAGTATAAGTGCTAGACTAACCAAACTTGGACTATATGTCTTATATACTTCATCTTAATCCATGTCTTATATACTTCATCTTAATCCATGTCTTATATACTTCATCTTAATCCATGTCTTATATACTTCATCTTAATCCATGTCTTATATACTTCATCTTAATCCATGTCTTATATACTTCATCTTAATCCATGTCTTATATACTTCATCTTAATCCATGTCTTATATACTTCATCTTAATCCATGTCTTATATACTTCATCTTAATCCATGTCTTATATACTTCATCTTAATCCATGTCTTATATACTTCATCTTAATCCATGTCTTATATACTTCATCTTAATCCATGTCTTATATACTTCATCTTAATCCATGTCTTATATACTTCATCTTAATCCATGTCTTATATACTTCATCTTAATCCATGCATCAGTTGCTGAATGTGCCCTGCATTTCGCGGTCCAGTGACTTTGACAGCATCTTCATTGATGTTAAGTTTTTGCGTTTAGCTGTGTTTCTCAAAAAGTACAAGTCCTAGACCAACCAAACTTGGACCATAGATGCGTCTTATATTCATAACTCATGGATTATAAACTATGCATGATATAATGAATGTGGCCTACATTTCACGGTCCAGTGACTTTCAGTCAAATTTGGTATGTACATGTATTTTTGCACTGCAAACTCAACCATGACATTCATTGTATTATTTGACAAAATGGCCACTGTATATTGGCGTCTGATTGGTTAAATTTCAGTTATTGTTTGATTTCGTTAAAAAACATTATGTAAGTGTATTTTCGCACTGTGAACTAACCGCGCCATCTGTTTTCTGAACTGACAAGATGGTCGTTGTATACTGGCCCCTGCATGATTGGTCGAAATTCACATATATTTTAATTTCGCTCAAATTTGGTATGTACCTGTATTATGGCACTGTGAAATCCGTTCTCCTATTTACATTTGCTTTTCCGAATGCAGGGGTAGTTTGGGGGACATCTGTAATGGCCGGCTCCCATTACAATTAGCACTTGTGCCTTTTATGCCTCCATGTTGATGTATTGCCAAACTTGTTTATAAAATGTAAAATTCCGACCTTTGACTCAAACTTATAATGCTTGACACATTGAATCTTATTGCTCAAAGCGGGGACAGGCGAGACAGCTTATTACGCGTAATTCTTGTTTTAAAGGGAGATAACTTTAACAATATCACCCATCACAAGTATATTGTATAAGGTACATGTAGCAAGCAGACTTAATAAGATCAGTTTGAACCAGAAGATATTAAGTGTTGAAATAAATACCAACATATATGTGTTACTTATGATCGTTTCTTAGAAGGTGGGTTTAATTGGGAGGCTACAATACAAGGCAATACACGTCTGTACCAGTTGATGATTTTTCTTCATGGATGTTGACTCCAAGTTATGATAAAGTCAAAACACAAGTTTGGTTATTTTTTCATGTCACTGTACAAATGTGAGTAAGTGATGGATTTTGGGAAACTGGGGGGGGACCTATTCTGCTGTCATGTTCCTTAATGTTCTACAGTGCTAATGATAAATATTTTAGAAAGTTGGTATATTGGAGGCATTGAAGATATGTCCAATGTTTAAATTAAAACCGGCTATAATTAATGAAAATGTAAGAAAATCAGCATAGCATGGAAGATAAGAGTTTGAATAATTTGATTTCTAGATCACTTTCTGTTAGGCTGTTACGTTGTTAAGTTTGTTGGATCAGAGTGTTGTATAGATATGTTACACAATGGAAAATAATGACACTCATTGGTGAGGAAAAGTGCACTGAATTTTCTTTATTCTTCATATCTGTTTATATCAGATAACTGATAAGTGTACATCAACATAATGTCCAAACTGAAAGTCTGAAATGTACATGTTGTGTATTCACATCCAGTCCCCTTGGCTCTGAAGGGGTTTTATACACTAGTACTGAGTTGGTCGTGATCAAATATGTATTATTTCCTCCAAATTAAAAGATTACGTTTATTTCTTGTGAAATATTGGGGTTTTAGATTGTATCAAGTGTGATTGGGACATATTTGTTGTTCAGTTAATGCTGAAGGATGTATTTCGATAAATCTATATACTTGTGATTACTTGTCATAAACTATTCTCAGTCAGCTATGCATGTATTATTAAGGCTTATTGTGTAAAAATAGTATGAGTTTGTCAAACCACCAAGAATAGTCAAGAATTGAATGCCATAAATAAATAGTTACAATATATATACTGTTTTTTTATTTTCTATTGTAGCTCGCCTGACTCAAGGGTCATGTGAGACCATGTCATGGCACATCATCTGTTTGTCCATCTTCTGTCCGTTTATTTCTTGAACAACTTTTATCAAGAACCATATGGTCCAGACAGGATTTTTAGCAGGGCTATACAAGAGGGGGAGATGAACACGAGACTTTTAGCAGGGCTTTACATGGGGGAGAGAGAACACAGGATTTTTGGCAGGGCTATACATGGGGGAGAACACAAGATTTATATAGGATTTAATGCAATATGCAGAGGAAAAAGAAATTGCAGGGATATTAATGATAAAAGATTTTGAAAAGGCTTTTGATTTGGTATCATGCAAATTTATTGATGAAGTTTTGGATTTTACATAACTTTGTTAATGATATAGAAAAATATGTCGAAGTTTAAAATAGTAAGCAAAAGCTCTATAATTAATCAGAGGGGTAATCTATCATCGTTTGTTCAGATCAGAAGGGGTTGTAGACGGGGATCTGATAACTCCACATATTTTTATACTTGGTGCAAAAATTTTGGCTATTATATGTAGTATAAAACATAAAAATATTAAGGAATTAACATAAATGGGTGTCCAACTATAATATCACTCTATTCTGATGATCCTACCTTATGTTTTAATAACAAGAACATCTTTAAAGGAGGCAATAGATGAGTTAGAATTTTTTTTCAAAATTTCCGCTGTTTAAGTGAACAAATAAAAAAATGCATAATATGCATAGGGGGTAAAAAATATAGGAATGAAATTCTTCCTCCTGAATTCAATCTGCAGTGAGCCAACAGATATTGTATGCTGTTAGGAATCCATAGGTATGAAGACCTTCATTTAATACCTAAACTAGGACCAAAAAATGGTCAAATCAAGACACAGAAAAGGAGAGTTCTGACAACTATAGGTAGGATACTAAATAAAGTCAATTCTAATTTCACAATTCAATCAACTCTTCAGTGCAGTACCAAATCACCTCTTCAGTGCAGTACCAAATCACCTCTTCAGTGCAGTACCAAAACACCTTTTCAGTGCAGTACCAAAACACCTCTTCAGTGCATTACCAAATCACCTCTTCAGTGCAGTACCAAATCAACTCTTCAGTGCAGTACCAAAACACCTCTTCAGTGCAGTACCAAATCACCTCTTCAGTGCAGTACCAAATCACCTCTTCAGTGCTGTACCAAATCACCTCTTCAGTGCAGTACCAAAACACCTCTTCAGTGCAGTACCAAATCCAGACCAGCAATTTAACTTAATGCTTCACTTTTTATGGAATTGCAAGATAGATATGATAAAACAAGATGCAATCATTTGGGAATATATAGATGGGAGGGTGGCTTAACATGATACATTTATAGATGGGAGGGTGGCTTAACATGATACATAGATAGATGGGAGGGTGGCTTAACATGATACATATATAGATGGGAGGGTGGCTTAAAATGATACATTTATAGATGGGAGGGTGGCTTAACAGGAAACATATATAGATGGGATGGTGGCTTAACATGATACATATATAGATGGGAGGGTGGCTTAACA